ACACACGCAATACAAGGATGCCTGTAATTATAAGGTTAAATTGAAAAAAGAAAAGCACATCTGATGTGTTCAGTGCAGAGGAAAAGAATGAAAATTCACAAATGCAAATGCACAGATGGAGGTGAAGGTCTTTTACTGCATGATGATGTCATTATGCAGTAGTGTAATTCATGAGAGTAAGTGGAGGTTCACTAGAGCAGGGCTTCTCAAACTTTTTTCACTTGTGACCCCTTTGAATCAGACAAATTTTTTCGCAAACCCTTCACTCAATGTCATAAAAGCAATAGGTACTAACACTGTATATAAATAGACCTTAGTCGTAATCTAACAGTAACTAAACGTAGAAACAAGCAAATACCAAAGAAAATTTTACTAAAGACTAAAAAAAAGATAAGAAATAAGATTACATTTAGTTGGATGGATGTGATTGCTTATTTTGACACAATAACTCAAATCATAGCTTAATATTCGTCATTGCTGGTCTCAAAGCAATTTCGATGTTCTTAAGACTTGAGCAGTATTTTGTTTCAATTATCGTCAATGTTGAAAATGCTGTTTCGCACAAGTAGGTGGTAACAAATGGCAGAAGAGCTGCCATCGCTAACTCTGACAGTATTGGAAATTCAGCTTTAACACCAAGCCAAAAAGCATTCAAGTTTTTTTCTTGAAAATTAAAGTTTGAGATTTGAATCACATGAAAGTTCTGCAAATTCTTCCTGAGCTTTTAACGAGAGATGTTTCATCTGCTCCATTTCCACGATAAATGGTTTTTGGATCCAATCTAATTGATTATTGTCTAATTCCAGTAGGAAATATTCCCAGAAATGGTTTTCCAAACACACCAAATGATCAATTATGATCTGCTTAATCAAATCAAAACTCAAATTATTTTCAACAATAAAATCCTCTGTATATGAAAACATTTCAAATGAGTCATTTTCCACTTTATGTTTCCATATGTTTAAATTTTTCATGAACGCTTGAATTTTAAATTTCAGTGTAAAAATATTCGTGTTCTCCCCTTGCAAAGACATATTAAGTTCGTTGAGTTTCTCAAACACATCTGACAAATAGCATAATTTGTACAGCCAATTTTCATTGTGAAAAAAAATCGACTAAATCTGAGTTATTTTCAGAAAGATGTAGTATTACTTCATTTTTAACTCTAATAGCCATCGCACTTCTGAATGCAGTAAAAGTGTGCTGAAATTGGATTCCATTTCGTCACATAAATATGCAAAGAGGCAACTATTAAGTGCACAACTTTTAATAAAGTTGTAACTTTTACCTCATCTTGTAGTACCGCATTCAGATCTGCAGAAATCTTCTTAGCCACTAATGCCTCTCGACGAATCATGCAATGAGTGATAGTAGTAGGTCCATTGCTTGCAGATTTAACTTTAACTTGAAATCCAACACAGTTATTCCATTCTAGCCCTACTTCCTTGAAAAATTCTTCCACTTTTTGAAAAATTGCCTCACCCATTGTACATCCATCTAACGACCGACAGAAGAGTAAATCTTCATGGACACTGTTATCGTAACAATACCTGACATATGTTGAGCCAAGTTTGTAATGTCAGTCTATTCATCCAGCTTAATTGGAAATTTCAAACTTTCTTTAATTCCTCCAATAAGTTGCTCAAACTGGTCATTGCTATTTTCCAAAATTCGTCTACCCACAGTATCATTTGACAGTCGAATTGTTCTTAATTCGTCCGCATATTTTTGCCCTTGAATAATTTCATTCATTCTAACTGCCACTGGTAACACAAGTTCTTCGCCAATGGTGTATGGTTTGTTAGCATTTGCAATTAAGTAAGAGGCTTCATAAGTTGCTCTTAAGTACTTTTCATTAACCAGTACATGCTTTTTAAGAGATTGCTTTTGTTCATTTGATGATTTCAATAGCCTTTCAAAAAACTCTACAGGCTTATTGGCATAGGAAGCATGTCTTGTATCAAGATGTCTTTTTTAATTTTGCAGGTTTCAGGCTTTCACTCGCCAAACATTCATTACAAATTAAGCAGACGGGTCGGTGTTCATTATAAATAAATCCATATTGCAAAAATGTTTCATTGTATTTCCTGTTTTTTGCACGCAATTCAGTAATATCTGCAGTTTTATCTATCTGCAAATTCGTGTTACTGATGGATGATCACGGTACTGCAAGATCTACAGCTTCAGCATTATCTGCGGTCTTAGTCTGACAAATTTAAGCACTTATTCATGGACAAGATCTTTTCAATTTCACATAAATAAAAAAATTAAAATAACTGTACATATCTTGACCAAGATTGCTACTAATAATTAAATAAAATTGAAATATCAAAAAGTCACTTCCGTTACACAAACACGCTTGATGCAACTAGCCTAACACATTCGCAGACATGTTGAGGCAGCAGGGTTGCCAAAATCCCTGAGAGAAAGGTTTTGTTTTTGAAAAAGTTACAAATTCAATTCAAACAGTAACAATTTTTTTAAAAACGTAACAAATATTTCTTTTAAAGTTAAAATCGATTAGAACAAAATATATCACTAACCTTTTTTAGCTACACAACCCTTTTGCAAGTAGTGTGGTTATAATAATATAAAATTTATTACTCATTCTGATGTAATTTGCGAGCTTCCAATAATAAATAATCCAGTCTCAGTAATGATGTGATTTGTCAAGGATTGCAATGTATTTATAATCCATTATACGTTTTATGGTGTTTATTACAAAAAAAATAAAGAAATAAAAATTTTAATTACTGAAAATATATTACAAAAATGTAAAAAAAAAGCTAATTCATCCAAAAAAAAAGTGAGTACCATAGAGACATTTTACAATAAATAAGCACCATAAGGAGTACATTTTTGTATAGAGATAAAAAACTGTAATTACCTAATTATTTATGAAAAAATAATAAGATTTTCAAATGTTTCTGCGACCCCAATAATATTTACATAACCCCCCAGAGTGGTCGCGACCCCTAGTTTGAGAAGCCCTGCACTAGAGGCCAGTGGCATGCAAATCTTTAAGGCAGATGTGCAGGGAAGATAGTGTTACGTATCTGCTCGTTTATTAATTTCCAGTATAAATTCTTTCCGAGAAACTTTTGCAATACAAGTCCTTTCTTAATTAAAACTAGTTTATTCTTTCTCAATACAACTTTGTAATACACAGAATTT